GAGCGAACATGTACCGGCGTTCGCTCACCTCTCGATCCTGTCACGGCTCTCTGCCGACAGGGGAGGGGCTGGATTCCCCGCTCCGGTCCGCCAGCGCTGACAGGCGGAACAGACGGGGGAGGGGGCGGGTACAGCTGGCTCTGCCTCTAGATAGGCAGAGCCAGCTGTCAGTCACGCAGCTGGGCGGATCCCGGCACAATTGTCGGGATCCGCTTCAGCTGCGGCGTCTCAGTATACCGTGAGCTACAGCTCGCGGTACACTGAGCCTAGGGTGACGGGAGGGCGCTAGTTTGTGTCCTCCCGTTACTCTAAGAAGAACTATGGGGAAAAGCCTTAACCCCATAGTTCTCCTTTAAATGTAGAAACCTCCTCTGTGTAAACAAAAGCCTTGAACCTGGGTGCCTCCATCTTGGATGTGATGTCACCAGTGCCTAGCAGACTCAGAGCTGTCACTTAACTGGCACGCTATAATATTCCCTTTGCTTATCCCCTGGCAGGCACTCCCAGAAGAGGACAGGGCTATGATGTGCCTAGAGGGAGCGGGATGTACTAGGGAATTGACTTTTCTTGAAGTGGTCAGATTTCCTGGCAAGTTTAAAAGGTACATTGCAAGTAAATTAGAAAAAGTCATTTGAAAGTAGAAGCGCTGCAAGCAAGCATTTTAAAAAAAATAAAATTATTTTATTCTCCAATTTACATTCAAAGGTAAACAGACAAGGGGCCAAAGTGCCCATCATAAAATCAGTGGACGCAGCCACTGTGAACATAAAAACGGTAGATAGAAAAAGATGCCCATCAAGTATAAAGCATTGACTCGTGTGAGTATGTGGCATCAACCATCGGGTGCCTTGTAGATGTCCACATTGGACGCTTATATTACTGGGTAGGCACAAGTGTATATACTCAAGCAAGCATTTTTAACACTTACTTTTTCTGTACCTCTATCTGCAAAATTTGTTAACAGGGCCTGTTTAAAGTGAATCATATAACAAAAAATGTCCACTTATTAGGAATCAGCAGGGCACATATTCGCGTTGTCAAATGAAATTTGTATGTAAAACCATAACTATTGCTTGCCTGTTACTTTACTGTTAACTGTTACCCCCAAGCTTTATGCCTGAATCACTTGGTCACATCATTAGGGACTGCAGAGAGTCTAAAGTTTCAAATGGACAGATCTGGCTTGGTAGATTTCCAGTGAAAAAAATCAGCAAGGCACACCATTGTGCAGCAGTGCTAAGGAGGAAGCAGAACTTGCTTACTGTATGTAACCAGCAGATATGGATGCTCCATTTACATATATAATTCGGTCTATGTTTATAATAAACCTTTAAAACCTAAACACCCAAGAATATTTTCATTACATAGGTTGCAAAAAAGACACGTCCATCAAGTTCAGCCATTAATAAAAATGTGCATTTTCTGTTTCTAACACAGTACCACAGAGTTGTTCCAGATTAAACTGATCACACTTTCATATATAGCTAAACTATAAACAAATAAATAATAGAACTTTTTAAAAAATTCTAGACGGCATAAAGGATGATGTAAAACTTCTATAAGGTTTTTGTTGCAGTCTCTGTTCCTACTGGATACATTTCTTTTCCTGTCCTGATGATACCCCCTCCCCTTATTTCATACATGGTGTCACGGGAAGTGATAGGGTCTCTGTAATAGGGTCACAGACAGCAATACAAACCTGATATTTGTAGTTTTGGCTTTTCATACACTATCAAATCTTAAAAATAAATCATCTCGAGTTGGAATTTTAGTGTGCAAGCTCCATTCTAATTCTTGCTTTACAAGCATGCAACCAGTAAGCTCTAACTCAGAGGTCCTTAAACTTTCTAAACAGAGGTCAAGTTCACTGTGCCTCAAATCTCATTGGAGCCAGACTGTGGCCAGCGGGAGTAGAAAATACCCTAGCGTCAGTGGAAGTAAACAATGGTTGGTGAGCAGCAAAATTATCTAGAGCAGGGGTGGCAAACTCAAATTCATCGGGGGCCGCATCAGCAGTATGGTTACCCTCAAAGGGCCGGTTGTATAGGACTATGCATCTACTCTTTATTATCATAAATAGTTGCCTCCACATTCAGTTGCTACTGGTTTTAATAATAATTTAAGTAATAACACTCTCTTCCCTCCTCTTCCTTAGCAGCGGGGGAGGGGCGGCGATTTGCATATGAATGAGCAGCGATATTTACATATGAATGGACCGTGGTTTATTGATATGCAAATTACCGCTGCCCATTCATATGTTAATTAGGGTTGCCACCTTTTCTTCAAGCGAAACCCGAACACTCAATCGACGCGTGGAAATTTTTTTGGGAGAATGAGTCGTGGCTTATTCATATAAAATATTAAAAAAATAAAAATTGCCGCCCATTCATATGTAAATATCACAGTTGAGACTATTTTCAGTGGGGGGCCAGTAGCCCCTATCTTCATTTTGGTTGCCTCTGTCTGCCTGACATCTTGTGTCCGTGTTTCTGCTGCCATGAAACCTGGACACAGCATTCAAAACCCGAACTGTCCAGGTGAATCCTGGACAGGTGGCAACCCTAATGTTAATATCTTGGCCGGTACCGTGCAGGCTGCAGGAACAGCACCAGCAAGCTCCGGAAAGAGTACAGAGTAGAGAGGGCTGGGGGAGGAGGTGTTTCTCTGGCCTCCCCCACCAGCGCCCTCTAGTGTCTACTGTGTGGTAGTGCCGGCTCTGCTCGCTACCACACAGTAGACACTGCTCTGCACAGAGTCGGCATAGCGGACCGGCCCTGGCTGCTGTGCGGGACACATTACAAGGTCCGGCGGGCCGGATTCGGCCCGCGGGCCTTGTGTTTGCCACCCCTGATCTAGAGCTTGTGGTTAGTGTGAGGAGGAATAATGACCCACCGCCACCAAATAAATTGTTCAAGTGATCATCCTTTATTGTCTCATATTGTCACAATGAAGCAACGTTTCAGGGCCGCGCAGGGTCTCCATCAGGCTCATTATGAGGAACATTGGGAGGAAAAGTGCCCCATCATTGGTGTCAGTGGAAGGAATAGTGCCCCGTCATTGGTTTAGGTGGGAGAAATTATGTCCTATTGGTGTCAGTGGGAGGAATAGTGCCTATCGTTGGTATCAGTAGAAGGAATAGAGCCTTATTATTGGTGGCAATTGAAGGAATAGTGCCCCATCATTGGTGTCAGTGGAGGGAATATTGCCCTATCATTGGTGTCAGTGGGAGAAGTAGTGTCCCATCATTGGTGTCAGTGGGGGGGGGGTAGGGCCTATTGTTGAGGTCAGTTGGAGGAACAGAGCCCTAACTTTGGTGTCAGTGGAAGGAATAGTGCCCCATTGCAGGTGTCAGTGGAAGGAATAGTGCCCCATTGTAGGTGTCAGTTTAAGGGATAGTGCCTCATTGTTGTCAGTGGAAGGGATAGTTCCTCATTGTTAGTGTCAGTGGGGGAATAGTGCCCTGAGGGTCAATTAAAGGGCTGCAATTTGGGGACCACTGGTCTAAATAACCTGAACTGTTATCCCAGACATGTTGTCGTTATTGTTACACTGGGTAGTAAAGCCAGGTTAAGAATGACTGCCAGAAAATATATATACTTTTAAAAGCAAGACAGCAGTGGCCGTGCCTGTGTTACTGTTCTCACAATGTTCACTTTAAATATTAAAATCTCATCCATAGAGCGATGCATTGTAGGAGTTTCAGTCTAATTAAAAAACAAGATATTGCTTGAGAGCAAGGAGCTCCTGATGTTAAACTATTAGGAGGCAAATTACTCTGTCACAGTAACTAGCCCTTAGTGGATTCTCCAGAACAATGCATGAAAGCATTTCCAGGTGGGGAAACAGGAAGTTCAGCTTCTGTCAATGCCCTAGGGCCTAGGTGTCTTGGGACAGGAAGTAAAAGGAAGTCTTCCCAACAGGACCACCGACAGTAATATCAAACCTGACTGATATTTTTACTCTTAGTGATGCTATAAAAAAATTAAAGAAAAATTAATGTATTTTGGAATTCTGTATTTATTTAATAACAGTGTGCAAAGTTTTTTTTTATTTTAATTAAAGAATAACTTAATTTAACCCTTCTATACCCTTTACCACAGACTTTATTTGCAGGCTGTAAGGAGACGGCTTCTCTATTGAGGCCTATGGAGCAAAGTCACACATGTTCAGTATGCTGTAGCCCATTAGCTTGAGGAGATTCACTTGGTGTAGGTTGACAGGTGAACGAGGTCACCAGCTGACCTAAATGTGGACTTATATTGAATGGGCACCAGGCTAAAAAGTTGAAAAAGCCCAACTGTTACAGATCACATTATGCAACTACAGTCCAGAAGGATAATTTAAACCACACTAAATAAGAGATTCCTTCAGTTTTAGCCCTTGAGTTTTTTTAAACCCCCGCATTATTGTTTTAGCCCTGATGACCCCAAAATGTGTTGTATGTTTTTCTTTTGTGATTGAATAATTAACGACTGTTTGGACTTTTGCACCCATTTGGTCTGGCGCCCATTCAATATATTTACACTCTAAGCTTCTTCGGGGTACCCTACTAAAGAAGGCCTGTTAAGTTGGAGCCACCTTACCAGATCCAGTGAACTTGCTTGGAAAACGTTGGTGCATTCAGACATTTAAATAAGCACTGAGATCCCAGTGCCTCTTACATATTTGGATCTGATGTTGGCCAGCTGATCTGAGGTCTGTAGTAGAGGAAGGAAAGGGTGAGGCGATTGGCAAAACATTTAAAAGTAAAATGATCCTTTGAAGTAGTTGCAGACCTGATTTAACTGATTAGATACAATGGGCTATTGCAATAGTGCCCCAAATTTGAGAATAAATACAGACATGCCTACATCCTGGGGAAGGAAGGTGACCTCTAAAGTCATGTGCATGCACTGGCCCTGCCATAGAGAATAATAGAGCTACTCTCCTCTGAGTCAAAGGTCAGTCAGAGTGCTGCAAACTTTGTTAATGGTAGAAATGTATTTCCTTTTGCTTTCCAGTTTGAAGATGGAATCCTGGAAATCTGTTTCAAACTGCTAGACTCCAACCCAAGATACAACAAGGACCCCATTAAAGACTTTTCCCGGCGCAATAATCCAGTGTACATTAGTCGTGTCGTCAGTGCGATGGTGAGTATCAGTCCTTTTGCAGAGAGAAGATATGATATATTTTACATTTGCTACTTTCACATGATGATACATTCTTAAAAAAATATTTTATTGACTGAAATCAATACAATACAGAACAATGGTATGATAAAGCATAGTACAGTAGAAGATAACACATTGTCATATAAAAGCACAGTACTATACAAGAAAGAACAATGGTTCAAAAAGGCACAGCACTATGACTTCAGCATTTTACATGTATGTTAAGCAGGTAGCATCCCTGCTGATTGACTTCAAAGATTAATGGATAATCCACATATCAGTATCAGGAAATCAGTGAGAGAGCAAAATGGCAAAGCATAATCACTATCCAGAAGTACAGTTTCTACATATGTATGCTGGCAAGTCATACGTCTATAAGATAACGCACATTGACAAGGCTATTTCCATTAAAGCAGAACACAAGCCTAATTTAAAAATGTACTCCAATTACAAAAAAAGGAAATGTATTTTGCATATAACCAACAGAAGTACCTGAATCTGTATCAATATTAGCCTCCTGTAATCCCCTATACATAGGCCTCACTCAGACTAGGGGGAATAGTGAGTCTTCTGTTTTAGTAAATCTCTATTCCATTTCACAGTTCTGTGAGTCTCCCATCCTAAACATGCTCTCAAGGGAAGAGCAGAGGGGTGACCTCATCAGTGCTGCTATTGTCCAGTCAGCAGGCTGGAGGTGCACTGGAGATCATGCAGTGGAGAAAAGGTGACCCACTTAACCTATGTAGTCTGGCAGGGATGTGTGTATTGCAAGACTTGCTAAACAGAATTTTAAATCATTTGCTAGGTATAAAAAATGTTCACATATGTATTTCAACTTTGCATTGAGCTGTTTGCCTGGTGTTCAGCTTTAAATGCATGCCACAAGAGAAACATAGGTATAGCAAATCATAGTTTCTGTCTGAGAATACTAGTTGCCTGCCTGTGTCTGCCTTCTGGGACACTGACTCAGAACAATCATGCAGCTAATGAAGCCAGAAAGTACACCCATCGTATAAGAGACCTGTGACTTTCATATACACAAACCATACTGTCATTTGTCGCCCCTCTTCTTCCCCTGCCCGTTCACAGAAAGCTTTGTATCATGGGAATGGTTCACAGAATGCAAGGAATTCTGTGAATGGGCAAGGGGAGGGAACAAACAACTATGACTTGTGTGTATGTGAGCTGCAGCTCTCATAGTTGTAGAATAGGATTGAATTATGCTGTAACTCCTATAACATAGGGCACACGTCCAGCATATTAATATCTTTGAAATTCGCCTATGATCTTGCAGGTGAACTGTAATGATGATGATGGTGGGGTCCTGTATGGACGCTGGGACAACTGTTACAATGATGGGATCAATCCCAAATCCTGGATGGGCAGCGTGGACGTCCTGCGGCGCTGGAAGAAGTACGGATGCCAGCCAGTGCGATACGGGCAGTGCTGGGTGTTCGCTGCAGTGGCCTGTTCAAGTAGGTTGAGCGACATATTTCAGCAAAGCTTGCATTAAAGGATCCGGCCGCTCAAAACTGATATTTTGATATAGTGAACTGCCACTATAACCAAAACTCAAGCCAATTTGTTTTTTATCAAGTAGGGAAGGTTTAGAACCTCTGTCAGGTTTGTATAGCAATCTGTGTCCCTGCTGGGGAGATTCACCTTGCATTTCCTGACACAAATGGTTTTACTGGGACATGATGTAAGAGAAAACCTGCACAAAGGAACACAGACAACAGCAAAAACCTGGCAGAGATTCTGAACTTTTCCCCATCCTACTCCTCTGTCGCACCTGAATAAATAAATAATGTCTGGTATTGGGCTGTAAGGACATATTCCACCTTTTGCAAAAAAAAATACATGCAGCCATAGTAATAAAATAAAACATTTACATTTATTGTTTTGTTTTTTTGCATTGGAGCCTGCAAAGCATTTCAGCCATTATCAGTCATCACACAAGCTACTCTAGACTTTACCTGCAGCCTTGAGTCCATACGGGGGTATGTACCTTCGGTTATGGGGCTAGAGAGTTTCCAATGGACGACAAATGTGGTGACATCACCGCACTTGTGCTCCATTGAGATTTGTGAGTCCCTCTGCCATGGCGGTAGAAGACATGTAGTCTTCAATTCACAGATCTGTGAATGGATGACACAGCTGTAGAATTTTAAAAAATGCAAGATACTGTGGGGAGAAGAACCCTGCAGGTAAGAGGGAGGGGCTGGTTTTGGGGTGGGGGGCTGGGAAACGTGATCTGTGTTTTATGTTAAAGGAGAACTATGGGGTTAGGGCTTTTCCCCATAGTTCCCCTAAGGGTAACGGGAGGACACAAACTAGCGTCCTCCCGTCACCCAAAGCTCGCGGTATACTGAGACGCCGCAGCCGGAACAGATCCCGACAACTCTGTCTGGATCCACCCAGCTGCGTGATTGACAGCTGGCTCTGCCTATCCAGAGGCAGAGCCAGCTGTGCCTGCACCTCCCCCGTCCGTTCTGCCAGTCAGCGCTGGAGGATCGGACAAGGGGGGGAATCCCTGCAGGGCGCCGTGAGTTACAGTCACAGCTTTCTGCAGGGATAGATCGAGAAGTGAGTGAGCGCCGGTATGTGTTCGCTCACTTCCCAATCTACTGAGCCGACCTGTGACAGTTTCATTGTCACAGGTCAGCTTAGATTATGAGGCTCAGTGTAAATCACTCATCTCATAATTCTTCTTTAAAATTCTAAATATGGGTGTAATATAAACCATGGTCAGAAAGGTGGAATTGGCCTTAAATTATCCATTTTGGGTGTCCTTCTTCATGTTGCATTTTATTTTCTCAGTCCTTAGGTGCCTGGGCATTCCGTGTCGAGTTATCACCAACTATTACTCTGCCCATGATACAAACAGCAATTTGGTGATTGAACAGTATTTGGACTACCAAGGGAATACACAGACGGGCAAGAAAGACATGATTTGGTAAGAACTTTTTGGTATTGGGGATGAATTATATTTGTAATCTGTTGAGGGTGAGGGATGTAACCACTTGCTGGCAGTCATCTCATTAGGCTAGAGCTACACAGAATATTTTAAGTAGCTCAATTGTGCTACTAAAATAACTATCAATTACAAGGAGTAGCACGTGATCTCTAATTAAATGCAACAAATGGCTCTGTTTGGAGTAAACTACACAAATAGCATGCGGAAGCATGTTGTAGTGATCAATCTAGCAAAACAGATGAGTGTGCTGGGAAACTTTTTGCTGTAGTGATCAATCTCACATGACCATAAAATGCTTACTTCCTGATTGTGTGTGCTATTTAGTTCCATAGAATAAAGCCAGCACTTTTAAGGATTGGCAACAATGACACAGAGGTTTCTTGATCACCTTTTATCTCTCTCCCTCATGTTACAGGAACTACCACTGTTGGGTTGAAGCATGGATGAGCCGTCCAGATCTCGGTGAACCATACAATGGATGGCAGGTGGTAGATCCAACTCCACAAGAAAAGAGTGCAGGTGAGGTTTGTCCCTATCATCTTGTTTTTTTCCATGATTTTGTCACAAGTTCAAGCACATGGCGAGTCTGGACTGGTGCAAGCCTATGACACTAGTCCAGACTCGCCATTTGCTTGGCCAAAAACTCTACTCTACTCTTCTTGAAGTATACCAAAATATTCCCAGCTGGAAGCAATGCCCCATTAAGAATCTTCTGTATAGCCTTTTCCCATCCTGACATACTTGGAATGAACTAGTATAACATAAGAACATCAGCTAGGTCTTTTTTAAATGTAATGGATTAGTTGGCTAAGATACAGAACAATTGATAGACCATGTGTCGTGAGGTTAATGTTGACCATGAAAGTCCTTCATGGGCTATGATTTTGCTTTTTGGATTGTAAATAGCAGAACCCATGCCACACAAGGAAGACAGAAGGAGGAATAGTATATTATATTGTATTTGTTGTGAGGTTAAAGTTTTGTTTTGACAGAAGTGGTATTGTGATCTCTTGTAGGAACTTATTGCTGCGGTCCTGCTCCTGTCTATGCTGTCAAAGAGGGTGACCTGGGGCTAAAGTTTGATGTCTCATTTGTGTTTGCTGAAGTGAATGCAGATGTTATTCAGTATGTTACACAAAAAGATGGCACTGTTAAGCAAATACTGCACACAGCGCAAGTAGGACAGAAGATCAGCACAAAGGCGGTGGGAAAAGACACCAGGGAGGACATCACACACACCTACAAGTACCCTGAAGGTAAGTGACCCTGAGCTTGTAGCTCCTAGAAACCAATCAGATTGTTCTTTTTATTTTGCCTTTCACTGTATGTGAGTAAACATCTGATTTGGGGTAACAAGAACCAATATTCCTCATAACGCAACTTCAGCCTAAACCTTTTTTATGTGTATTTTGAGATTTTTTGCCTATTTAGCTTATTTGATGGCTGTCAGACAAAACAGGAAGTGAGGACAAATCCTTCCCTACAGGCAGCAATAAAAAGGAAAACTGATTAGCAAGACTTACTGTAATTTCCTTTTCTGACCTATCTCCATAACATGCATGGAGTCAACCTATGTGTAGTGCCACTTTAATGTTATGAAAATGGAAAATTGATTACCAGTACTTACCATAATATACTCCTCCTAACCTATCTGCATGGCATTACACATGGGTTGACTCCATGTGTGATGCCATAGGGATGACAGGACAAAATATATTGTGTTCAAGTGAGGAAAGCTTACCATCTCTGTCAAGATTTATTGCTGTCTCTTTCCCCATTAGCCAGATTTCTCTCACTTCCTGTTCAGGTGGTGGGTCTCAGAACAAGGAAGTAAGTGGAGATACTGACAGTGTTTCAAACATGACAGAAAATCTTCACATTAGAGGCACAGGCATCATGTAAAAGAGAATAGTTCTAACCCTTCCTCACTCTAACCAAGACTAAAAAAAAATTGGCTTTAAGAAATGTGAGTATATCTGGCTCTCTATATGGATGACGTTTTAATTGCACCTAGGAGAATATGTCTGCATATGCTTAAATTGAAAAAGCAGACTCTGAATATTGTTCCAGGTATATAATTGGGCTGACGTAATGTGAATACATGCTGTACTGGGGTTGGCAATCATTTTCTCACTTAGAGTTCCTACTTAGTACAATTCCCAGTAATAATTACAGGACACATGTACCAGTTTCAGAAACAAGTGGCCGATAGGGACGCAGGAAACCCATGTTCCTTGCTGCAGTTATCCTCATCTATAATGGACAACATAGAACAGGGTAGCTGGGGGGAACCGCTAAACTCTAGGCAAAGAGCTACATACATTGTTGAAATACAACAATGTTTTTGCTTTTCCTACCAAAATCTTTGCAATTTTTCCAGACAACCCTGATATTTGCACATCACTGCCAGATAGCACTCCTTACCGGATAATAATGAAAACCTGCCTGGTCTAGTTGGGTGCTTGTAATGATCAAGGATGGCACCGTGCAAAATATGAAGTCCAAGAACGTCACCAGCACTCCAGTATAAACGTGATAAAAGATGTAATTCTGAGCCTGGTGAAGCTGGGGGGCTGCGGGGGGACCTATAGGAGTCTGGAAGCCCTGTATAATAAGGGGACACAACAGGATTAAATAAATACCCATTCTCACAATTAAATGACAATACATTTTACATTCTAATTTTTCCCCTTTGTAAATCCTGCCTCAATCATTTTCTCCAGCGATGTAAATCCAGTGGTGATTACCGCAACCAGCATTGTAAATCCTTGTCAATCAGGACTATACGGCGCCCGCTGATGTTTACCAGCCGCACGCTTGTCACTAAATGACAGATCCCTGGCTGTGTGCTAATGCAAACACAGTGATAGGATTCCTGGATGACATAATTTACAGATTCAGTTAATGGTGATACCTGGGATCCCCAGCTGTTTGCTTTCAGTTCAGCAGCCGGGGATTTGGGCAGCCAAACTGGCCAATTTGAGCCAAATAGTTTAGTGGGTTAGCGAATGGGCAGGGTTCGCCTCATCCTCAGGTTCGACTCAACCCTGAATTTCCCATCTTTGTTGCTGCACAGGGTATTACAAAGGGCCACTACCAAGTCAAATTTAGGTACTTACATTAGCTTCTTATAAAAATACATTTCATGATGTTTTATTGAACACATAACTGCATTACTTGGTCTAGTTTTATATCTGCTAGAAGTTCAGCTTTAAAATAATCTTGTCTGATGGCATATAGTTTTATAATAATGGTAGTATGGGGGGCTTAGATCCTTCTTCTTAAAGGATCTAAGATTATATATATATATATATATTGCCTCTGCTTCTGCTGGGCCTTCCTGAGACTGGTCTCTAAAATGAATGTAATTCTGAGATTTGCCATTATAATAATAACGCTTATTGAGACCACTGGATCTCCTCAAGCAGACATATTTATAGTCATATTGTACCTTTTCATTTGGCATTGGGAGGTGTAGTTCTTTCATTTCTGGTGCCATTCTCATTACAGAGGAATGTGTTACATTCTCACATGTCTTCGCACTGAAGTGTCAGCTGCTGTAAAAGCTGCATTTTATGAGAACTGTCACTCCAGTCTTTATGATAGAGGCCCCGCTTTTCAATTTTCCTTTTTTTAATATCCTGTGCAGTGTAAATTGAAGAAGCAATTTAGCTCTGTTTTAACAACATCAGACTTTGAATCTAAAATTATTAAATACTTGATTCATTCGGATCTGTTAACTGAGGGAAACAAGCGCCTTTGTTATGCCTGAAGACTTTGTTGTTTTGTTGTAGTTGCTCCTTGCTTATAATAACTATAGGCATTGTGCACATTACATAGTAAAACATTTAGGTTTCCCACCATTAAGCTTCATCTCTGCGACTATGGCAGTTTAGAGCATAGAAGGGGGTAATAGTTTGGATTTTGGGAGCAGAACCCATCACTTATAATGCCCTCTGTATCTATGTATTAAAGTCTACTTAAAAAAAAGAAATATATGTACATCCTCATAAAAGAAAAACATGTTCATTATTTGTTTTGCATTGGAACCAGTAAAGCATTGGAACTGGGATCAGTCACCTGTGCAATGCTCTGGCTCCTGCAGACTCTTCCTCCCGTCCATGTCCATACCAAGGTAGGGACATTCAGTAACACGGACAGGAGGCAGAATGAATGGACTCCTATATTGGAGATGCAACAGGAAATTGAAGAAATGTTTCCCAAAATGGGAAAAAAAACACCTGGAAAATGTCCTGATTGGGAGATTTCCCCACACATCCATTTTTACCCACAGTATATGATGTTTCAGATAATTCTACATGTTTGACCCAGTGATAATGGTCTCAAGGACATGCATGTGTAAGGACATTTTCAGTTTGGCATGACAGGTCCACATTTCATATAAATGCAATAAACAAGCGTGTCGTGAATTGCTCACTTTTTACCTTCTTCAATCTACAGGCTCTGAAGATGAAAGGCGGGTGTATGAAAAAGCCAATGAGTTGGCCACTGTCCCAAAAGGAGAACCAAGCGCTGTGCCATCTGATGTCACTATAAAGCTCAAAGTATCTGAAGGCATGAACATAGGCAGTGATTTTGATGTGTTTGCCATTATCAACAACAACACAGATGAGGAGAAGGAGTGCCGGTTCAGGTTCTGCGCACGCACAGCCAACTACACTGGTGTGGTGGGACCGGAGTGTGGAATGATGGACCTACCTGACCTCAAGTTGGAGGCACGTGCAGGTAACTGTTGCTGTTGTCAGTGTTATTCTCTTTAAGTATCATAATAAATGTACAGCGCGGCAAATACAGATTAGGAATATGTATGTAAAAGTTTTCATTGTTCCAGGTCATGTTCTAGCTAGTAGTAGTTAGTCTCATTGAGCTGGACTTGTTCTACTTTTGAAGATGTTTCACCACTCATTCATCCTCCGTTTTTCCTCAATTCATCCTCAGTTCTGAGTTAGTTCTGTAACTAACTACTCCTAGCTAATGATAAGGAAAGCTACCAAGTTGACTAAAGATTACACTGAAAATAAATTTGTACAGTTGACACTGGAGCTTCTCCGGTTCTATCGTAAGTACAGAAAAAATGTCAGGACCATCGGCAAGCTCCTTTTTATTCAACTGCATACAAGTGATATTTTGGTCAGCTCATAAAAGGCGTTTGATCCAAAATGTTTCCTGTGTCTGGTAAATAAAATGAAAGTTTCAATTGCTGGTGGTGCTGTCAGTTCTCACATTACATTACTTTTACCAGTGGCATAGACCACTGGTAACCCAATGCAGAATGCTGTGGGGATTACCCCATCCTTGTTTTTGACATATCTGTTTGTACTTAGGCTTGTGCAATAAATATGGGCTACTGCAGCTTCCACCAGAAATGATAGAAATTAGGGATGCACCTATACCAATACTAGTATCGGTGCCGATACTGAGTATTTGGGTGAGTATTTGTATGTGCCCAAATGCTCCGATACTTATTCCGATGCAGGAACTTCCAGTCAGAAGGACATTTCCCCCGGGTAATGACCTGCTTCCCAGCTTCCTGATTGGCCCAGGAAGCTAGCTCCGTTCTGATTGGCTGGGATGCTGGCCAATCATGAAGCCTGGCAGCGGTAATGACCTGCCTCCCAGCTTCCTGATTGGCCGGTAAGCTGGCTTCATGCTGATTGGTTTGAATGCCGGCTTCCTGGCCAATCAGCATGGAGTCGGCCAAACAGCATGGAGCTGGCTTCCCGGGGCAATCAAGTTGCTGGGCAGCGGGTTATGACATGCTGCTTGGCTTCCTGATTGTCCGGGAAGCTGGCTCCATGCTACTGGAAGTAGCGGTATCGGCGAGTACCGAAATATAAATATCAGTACTCAATACCGAAAAAACTGTATCAATGCATCCCTAATAGAAATGATGAGGCTTAGGGCCCCTCAAGGATTCATTCACACTATGTGTAGATGCGCATTTCGGGATTCCTGCAGCAGGAATCTATGGATTCCTGCTGCAGGAATCCCAACTATTCTGTTTAGAAGTGGCCGCTGTCACCCATTCAAGTTAATGACCGGGTGACAGCAGCTGCATCTGTAAGTGGCAGTTCACAGTAATCATATGTGATGATGTGACAGTTCATGGAGGTCACCTTGCAACTTTTACCTCTTACCCATGACATGAGCTTATGTTCATATCAGCACTGCTTTTTGGCCAAGACAAGTCAATAATGAATCAAAAGCAGCTGTACACCAAAGAGGACTGGTGTGCTTTATATGCCAGCACTGTTTTTTATATTGAAACTTGCACTGCATAAATTGGAGATTTGAAGGTTAACTATTTTTGGTTAATTTTCTTCCCATCAACCTTCAGAAGGATCCGTAATGTGTGCGTGCCTATTCGTCATATGCACCTGTCCTCACAGGCACATTGGCAGCATGATGAGAGGTTTTCTCTTTCCCACACTGCTCAGTGACTGGCTCCTTCTGCCTAATATGGTCACACTTTGAGGGGAAGGAATGTCCTCATGCAACTATCTTTATACTGGAATCCCACTATTGTGATAACGTCTCTAGATACTCAGCGAGCAGCATTGATCTGTAGACTGTTAAAAGCCAAACTCCAGACAGAGTTCATTTTCTGGGAAGTTGGGATAGCTAAAGCTAGCAGGCAGTTGTGTACTGGGTACAGCCACCTGAGGCCAAACCCTAGGTGGCCTTCACATAAATCCACCTCTGGGGACTCCAGTACCTCAGTAGTAATATCCCCGCTTCCCCAAAGTCCCTAGTTTTGGTGCTAACTGTTCCAAGGACCTCTACAACACATTGACAGGGACTCAGGATAAACATTGTTTCACCACTTCAAAACTCTTGATCCAAATTCAAAACAGCCATGGTAACACTGGGTGCTGTCCATACAAACTTGTCTCAGCAATTCAAATTACAAACGTCCTCAGGAATACCGGGCGCTGACCACACAAGCTCCTCTCCACAATCCAAATTCCCAACAGCCTTAGGAACACCGGGTGCTGACCGTACAAGCTTGACTCAGGACTCGTGTTGATTTTATAATAATCCTTTTGCAGAGTGATGATACCAGAGATGGGACTGTTTGTTTCTTTAACTTATAAGGGACTGTATTACTTGCTGGAAGATCTGTAAAGTAATGCATACACTCTTGTGATCTATCCTACCTGCTATGCTGTTACATACCGTGTTTCCTCGAAAATAAGACCTGCCCCGAAAGTAAGACTTAGCACTATTTTTCAAGATTCCTGTAATATAAGAACTACCCGAAAAATAAGACCTAGTTTGGTGGTAGCATGTGAGGGGGAACTTGAAGAGCAGGAGAGATGGTATCAGCCTGCAGGGACGTACTGTATTAAAGGGATGACAGGGGACTCCCTCTGGCCAGCGCAGTGACAGGGGGCACTCCAGCACCATACTTCACCAACTGCTGTCCCCCTGAAGGCACTGCTTAATGTAATGGTACTGTACTGCAGGGCTCAAAATTACAAGTCCTGAGCTACTAGCCAGGCCTTAAAGGATAACTATGGGGTTAGGGCTTTTCCCCATAGTTCTCCTCAGGGTAACGGGAGGACACAAACTAGCGTTGTCCCGTCACCCTAAGCTCAGTATACCGTGTGCTACAGCTCAAGGTATACTGAGACGCCGCAGCTGAAGCGGATCCCGACAATTATGTCTGGATCTGCCCAGCTGCGTAAGTGACAGCTGGCTCTGCCTATCTAGAGGCAGAGCCAGCTGTACCCGCCCCCTCCCCGTCCGTTCCGCCAGTCAGCGCTGGAGGATGGGAGCGGGGAGAGAGGAATCAAGCCCCTCCCCTGCCGTGACAGGATCGAGAAGTGAGTGAACGCCGGTATGTGTTCACTCACTTCCCGATCTAGTGAGCCGACCTGCGACAGTTTCATTGTCACAGGTCGGCTAGAACTATGAGAATGAGTGAAAAGCACTCAACTCATAGTTCTCCTTTAAGAGTTACTAGCCACCAGTTGCCCCACCTAACCCTTACCCTGCCCAGCCTTAACTCCGCCCCTAAACACACCCTCTTAAATAATCCTATGATAATTCTTATGATAGTTGCCACTTGTAAACAGCAGATTAGGGATTCCTGCTGCAGGAAAACGCAAGTTCCTGACACAGGAATCTCTAATCGGACCTGAAATATACTGTAGGTGTGAATGGGGCCTAATATACACATACACTAAAGGTGCCCATACAACTGCCGATTATCGTACGATAGTTGTGGGTGATCCCGTGATCGTACGATAACCGTCAGGTGTATGGGCAGCGTGCAACCGTTTCTACTGTAAGGTCGTACGACTTTCGTCTTCCAAGCACGCTGGAAAACCCCCCGAGCCCCCTCACCTGCTCACGTCTTTGCAGGGAGGAGGCTGTGAGCAGGATCTGCAGCAGACCTCACTAATCACCCCCAGATAACCAGGAATCAATTCTCCTCACATACATCCTTTCTTTCGGCCGGAGCTCAGAACTGTCAGAGCTTCGGCCGAGGGAAGCCGGAGCTGACAGGAGCAGCTCAGCGGTCTGCATCCGACACAGATGCAGACCGTGGAGCTGCTCCCGCAATTTAGGTATGCGGTATGCGACCGTGTGCCTGACATGTCAGCTGGCTTCGAGCCACATAGTACCTATGCTTGCTTGCGAGCCGGAGTTGGTCCGCGGACCGGTACTTGGAGACCCAAATTTCCACTCGCCCTCACTTTATTTTTACTCGCCAAATGCGAGCAGGCGAGTGGAAATTTTGAGCCTTGCTGTACTGTAATGTGTACCCGTAAATGGTAATGTACTTTACCGCGCTGTTCACTGTCTGATGTCCCCACTGCTGCACCGCTGGTACCGCTGTCCCTGATGGCAAAGGAAGCTGGCGCTGTAGAAAGCAAGGCTGTGGCGGCGGAGGGAGCAGAGCCGCACTAGCCAATACTTCCTCTATAGCGCCGGTTACTGTGACAGGCGGAGTGATACCAGATGCACTCCGCCTGTGAAAGTGAAAAAAAAGGGATCAGCATTACCAATACTGACCATTTTGTTGCACATAAAAAATTTAAAAAAAGACATCCCCTGAAAATAAGACCTAGTGTGCTTTTTTGGGGCAAAAAAAATATAAGACAGTGTCTTATTTTTGGGGAAATACGCTAGTCCTATAGTACTTTTCTGTCCCTAGCCCACCCACTGTGCCCGTTCTGGGTCACTGTTGAACTTTACTAAAATAGAGCTCTCCTCCAATCATCTTTTTACAACAGCTAGAATGAAAGTTATTGCGTGACTTTTGAAAGAATGAACAAAAGCATGTTTTCATGTATTTGGCATTGTTTAATAATCACAGGCAGAAATACCGCAAAGTTTTACAAGAGTACGATCTATTTTGGCATGCATAGTGAATTAATGAGCCATGGACTGCCAACTATGCACTCATAGATATACAGATAGAGAGGTATTCATTACGGGATGGTTAGGAACAGTGGTGTACCTAGCATATCTGGCACCTGTGGCCAATCAGTTTTTTTAACAACCCCCCTACAATTTTGTTTTACCACACCCCCATAGAAAAATATTTTCAGTAATAAGGAGCTATGCCTAACGCTGGGTGTAGCCAAATTGCGATAACGGTAGGAGTGTCTTAAACGGGCATTGATAAATAAAATTGCATTGGTGGGCAGCGGCAGGCTGTAAAAATAACCAGCCCACATTGGTGCTAATTCGCTGGCCACAAAAATATCCCCCTT